GTATACCGGATTGTCGAAGTGTAGTCGAGCAACGCGTGCAGTCTGTTCTAGTGGTGTATTATTCTGCATTTGTTGTGTGTGCGTGTTTGTCTGTATGTAAATCTATGTGTCACCAACTCTGCCGTTCGACAAATTCAATCAATTCTGCTATTCAATAAATTTGTCGTCTCTGGGCGAATGCACCCGTCAATTTTTATTTTTTTACCACCAGAAATAACTCCCAGTAATCACCTCAAAAACCTTGTGAAGGTAGTAAAAATTTACTCTCTCTATACTCGCTGAAAACCTCACTGGGGTAAATATTTACTACTCTCCCTACGTTCAAAAACTCAGTTAGCACGAGAGTAAATTTTTTACCTCGGTAGTAGGTGGTAAAAAAACCCAGGAGAGGTAGTGCGCTAGAGGACAAATGGTTTACCCAGTTTTTGAGGTTATTTCAGGTCATTTTTGTTTAGTGTGTATAGACCTGGGGTAGAACTCACAAAACCTCTCTTTTGTATCCCGTTGTACAGCCGGCCTCGCTAAAAGTATGTCTCTGATCGTGTTTGTTTGAAATATTATTATACGAAATTTTCTAGCGCTGGACGTTCTGCAGGCCCTATGTCATTACCCGCAATCACTTTGCAACCTTATGACTTCCAACAATCAATATTGAATGATGTGTTCATTCGCTCACGTTCATATAGCCCCCAACTGCAGCGCACGTACCTGATCTGGGACGAATGGATCCAGTATGCGCGCTCGGCGTGGAACGGTAGCGTACAGGTGAATTCACCTCCTTCCCCTCAGTCATTCGTAACAAATCTCTCATGCTAGATTCGCGCGGACAAAACTTAATTTTCAGCTCTAATGGTGCATTAAATTTCACCATGCCCCAGGTGAAGTTAGGCTTGCCTCGGGGCGAAGCTGCCTTAGTCCATTGTGCAGTCGTCGTCGTAGCACGATGCAGTACGTCATCACGCCTGTCACGTGACCAGAGGGCGGAATGAATACAGAAATAAACCGAGATGATCGTGATGATGAATGACGCTCAAAATGAGGCTTAGCTTAGTCTACCCTCTGGTATACATGAACTCGCGTGATCACAGCTTCTCCGTGTGACGGTTCTCTCCACGTGGAACTACCTGAAATTCTTTACCGTGTACACATAGGTGACATCAAAGTTTCGCAAAACGGACTCGATATCTCCCAATGCTTAAACGAACGCTATCCACGCTAGTCTTCCGGGACCAGGCGTAAATGTCTGTCCGGCCGGCGTCTTTGCATCCGGCACGAATGAAAGCTGCGTGCTGCATGGCGTCCACTACACGTGACCTTCGATGGCAGCGATCATGGCAGAGCAGCGAGCGAGTGGCAGCTCACCGCCGGCGGAGAGCGCTGCCGGGTTGATGGACGCTCACGACGGCGTCTCGCTCGGACGTCGTGTGCCTTTCGACGTGGCCGGGAAGCCGTGTGGTCGGCTCAGCGTGAGGTGAACGCAAGTGGAATGCGCTCGCCAGCGAGGATGCATGCTTTAAAAAAAAAGAACAATAAGAAACAGAGATGTTGCTGGAACGGGGGGAGCGGTAACGTACGACGACGCCGTCACTTTAAACCGTAATATACAAAACATTGCTAAAGATCAAAAAAGAAACACTACTTTTCGGGCACGCGCTCGTACGTGGAAGCACGCCGCGAACAGCGGCAGCTCATAAAGACTCAAAAGTAAAAACACACGCACTCGGCAAACCCTGTACACCGACCACCTCGTGACGTTTGATTCCTTACAGGCCATCCCGCGATTGCCAACTGATTCATTTTTATTTTTTTAACTTCTAAGGTTTGCACGCTTTAACCTTGCTTGCACTACTCTTCTTTCCTCAGTAGTAGATTTTTCTGTCACTAAGCTTCATTTAATCCCCTCAACGGCGGCGGTACTCCCAAGTGCGTCCACCACCTGTTTCATTTTTTTGTTCAAACGCATTACTGTCCATCGTTGGAGCTCACTCGCTGTACTTGCATTAAGCCTCTGTCTTTGTGCTTCGACCTTTTTACACTCCTTTTCTTCCCTTTCCACGTTCGCTTCTCTGAGCTTTCTTCTAATGGCGTCCGCGCGCTCTCTCCACGTCCTTCGACTACACACACAACGCAAGCTGCCCTGTCACTTCGTTTAGAGTTCATTTCCCTTCGTTACGCCGGCGGTCAATAACGCCGGCTGCTCGAGGGTCACCGACTCGCAGTCGCCCAACGGCCAGACTGTCCATTCAGTTATGACTGCACTGTTGATGCAGCCTCGTTATTCTGCGTGACATTGCAGTTTGTGGCTCTATGTTTCGAGTCATCTCGTGCTTGCACCTCACTCGATTATTTCGTGCCGCATATACTCGGCTCTTTCGTGCATTAAATGTGTACATTTGCACCTCAAGTCTGCATTTCCTTTTTGCTCGTTCGTTTACTTGCTTTTCTCAAGCCGTATTTCATTGCTGACTGTCGTTGGCAGCCGGGTCACCTGGTATTTCATTTTAAATATTTCTGTTTTCTTTTTTCTTCATGACTTCTTTCTTGAATTCGCGCAGTTATAACTTACGTAGGTTTTATTTTCCAGACCAGATTTTATTTTCGGCTACAGTTTTTGGGAACACGCGCTTCAGTTTGAGTGGCGGAAGTAATGTTGACTAAAACGAGGGTCGCCAGGAAGGTCCGAGGCGCTGGGCGAGTTATATGTACGTTAACCCTGGCGATTCATTTTGTTTATATAGAAAGCGTGCAAGACCATTATGATCGCGGCTATGAACCTGTATTGCCTGAACGTTTCCGCGGAAGCGTTTCGCGGGCTCCTTTACCTGCTCGCCTTCAAGCAACGTATTGCTCTGTTCACCCTTTCTACTGCTCCTTTGGACGCTTCAAGTGAAAAAATCGCATTAGGTGCTTGCGGCGTTCGAACGAGTTAGTGGTGCCTGAAACCGAGGAAAAAATAAAGGTATCGCGTCGGACGAAGTGCCCTGGCACATGCCGGCTTTGCGAATCTATTTTTTGTACTGAAAATGTAAAGGCAAAAAAAGCAAAAACAAAAACGGCCAGTATATAACCAAAGGTCGGAAGAACACGACGTGGCTATAAGGAACTGACTCATAATAAACTGACCAGCTACCTCGTGAGTATATCTTATAGTGTTCATTTCGTACCACTGCGGGATGTGGCATCGCAACGTCAGTGACATCCCACATCGCAAATAGTGGGATGTCACTCAGTTGAATGGCTGGAGAAGGGATGCAAAATGATAGACAGATAAAGGAGAAACGTATATGGTATATTATTATTATTATTATTATTATTATTATTATTATTATTATTATTATTATTAGTATTATTATTATATTATTATTATTATTATTATTATTATTATTATTATTATCATTAATATTATTATTATTATTATTATTATTATTATTATTATTATTATTATTATTATTATTATTATTATTATTATTATTATTATTATTATTAGTAGTAGTAGTAGTAGTAGTAGTAGTAGTAGTAGTAGTAGTAGTAGTAGCAGTATTGTGGCCATCATTTCGTGTGGCCACGTCCTCAGATGGGCCGGGACCAGGGGAGGTGACCGCTTGGCAGCGTTGGCAACGGTTATATTGGCGGGTTTTGCACCCGTTTGGATTGTGTTTGTTACTTCTCGTACTAATGAATAATACATATATCAATTCTTGCCTCTGTTGCATTACTAGTACCGAATGGTTACAAAGGGATCAATAACTACGCGTTGACGCAAAAAAAAAAAAAAACGTGACGTGCGTCAAGTTGGTGTGACTGCTCCTTTAAAGAATACTGATGAGGCAGATGACGGAATCATATACTACGATTAAGATTAGTCACTTATGCATTTCAATTTCTGGGGCAAGCCTTGCAGGACCCATCTGAATAATACCGTTCAAGGACTGGGATCGCTGTTTTTTAAAGGTACAAGAAAAACTTCTTCTAAAAAGAGAGGGAAATTAATAGGTGCTTTGATTTAATTATTTACCCTGCTTCGATTTGGGTTGCGGTCATCCTTTGAAGGCATCAACAAGACAACGCTGTATGGCGTCGAGAAGTTGTGCGAACTGCTAATCCCTGCAATTTATAATCCTACTACAGTTATAAAACTTACGGGCCAGTTTCTATGGTGTCGAAATGTTGTAAAAACTCGTAACCACTGCAATGTATAACCTTAGTGTACATCTTAAACTGACGGGTCAGTTTCGATGATGTTCATTTGTACTGCTCGGTGGTCGGGTCCATGGAGCCAGGAGTTTCAGCCCGGTGAACCACGCTGGTCAGTCTGCCAGTACAGGCCAGTTGCCCTGCATTTATTGGGTTGCAATTCAAGCATGGGGTCTACATCTGCGCATACCCGGTGTTGACACCACGGCAAATCGTTTAAGGTTTTGAGAAATGCAATGCAATAATACATTGATTTTCCCCGTGGCATTGCAGCAGGAGCCCTGCAATTGGGAGCCCCGTACCCCTTTTGCATAAATATTTTCTAACCATAGTCAGCAATGATAAACGGTGCTCAGACGCTAGCTTGGCAAAGTATACTGCTTCAACCTTATGCTCACAATGTCTCATTTAGGGCACCGACAAAATACGAAAACAGAAAAATGAAGCCTTGCGTTTCGGCACCTTGGAGTTGACAGAACATAAAGCACTCACGTGCATTGGGCCTCTAACGAAGGACATCACCTCCATTTGCTCAAGTGAAAAAAAAAAAGCTGTAATTAAACGCACGTTAGCTCGAGGCATTTGCGCGTATCAAGTCATTGTTCAAGTCTCATGGAAGAGTTCAGCCTCATTAACGCACACCATCTTGCGCGTAACATTCTAATTTGACGTAACCGGCTGAGTCCGACCGTTAAGCTGGAATAGACATCACTGGAGCATTCATAACAATCAAAGGGGCAACAAAACGAAAATCATGAAACGTACTACTCCGTAGATAGAACGTACGAGTAAACTCAAGCAACAGCTTTGGGTGGGGAATGCTTTATTTGATACCCAAGGCACAATTAAACACCGCTCACCGCGCCACCGCCAAGCCCAGGCGATCGTTTCCGCGGTCAAAAACAGTGAAGTAGCGACCAATGAAAGGGTCACCGAGGTTCCAGAGTGACTCGTAGCTCGAGCCGAAGTCGTTGGACTTGATGAAGACAACGCACGGTGTCCTGTAGCCTTGCCTCAGCTGTTAAAACACGCAAAGGAAACGAGCAGTGAATGTATAGGCCAGGGGTCTCAATCTAGCGGCCCGTGACCCACACATGGGATTCTTCGTCCCATATATTTTTTTACTACTTTGTGACTGTTCGTAACATTGCTAAGTAGTGCTCGCATTATTTCCTGCATAACTCTTTCAATTCTTCGTTTGGGCAAGCTACACAGAAGTGACTACCCTTAAGGACTTTTTTAGTGAGGCACCCCACTGTAGGTAACTTGCGTATAAATATAACCATGGAATAAAATCTGTATACTTCAGCATCGGTGTACAGATTTCAGTCATTGTGCAGATCACTATCGATATGCTTAACGAAACCTGGCACTGAATGTTCTTTAAAAAAGACCCATACATGAGATAAGGCAAAGGCGTTCGTTCAAATGACAAAGTTAAGTGAAACTTTGTTCACCCCCCACCCCCCCTTATTCCCCATTTCCCATTTATTTACTGCGCTGACCCTTTGAGGGACTAAATATCGGTACTGTGGTACGGCACCTAAAGTTACTTTCAGACCCGTGGTAAAGGCAGTATGCTGGCGGCTATAGAACATCATTGAACACGTGATACAGACCGCACATCTTCGACTCATCCACATTAGTCCTGCAAGCAAGCCCTGCTGTATAAACAAAAGAAAGAAAGCAAAAAGAAGAGTGGAGGGGGACTAGGTGGAGAAGGGGGCAGCTACGCACTAATGCGAAGAATGAGGAAACAGCAGAGCTGGTGGCCTTGCCCTCCTCCTTTCTTCCCTATCGCCCTCACTTCTATTTCTCACCCCTTGCGATACTGTACTAGACATAGCTATGCTGTGCTTCACTCTCTCCCTCTCCTCCTCAACCTCACATCATTCATTCTCACACTATCTCCCTTTCCTACCCTTGCTATACTGTACTTTACATGGCTATAAAATGCTTCCACTTAGCTTCGCACAGCTCCTTCGAGTTTAGAGTGGTCACCGGCGGCGGCTGGAATTTGGGATAAAGCAGCTCCGTTGTCAATAAAATTCCGGCAGATTCGACGTACCTTGGCCATCCTTGACGCGCAAAGCATGCGTATTATTTAAAGCAGTACTAACTACAGGACAAGAAGTAGACACATCAATAATAACGCGTTGTAACTGTCTACTTCTTTTTCTGTAGTTTGCTCAGCTTTAAATAATACGGGGCCATGTCAACTAGCCCAGCTGTCGGCCTTGCTATGAAGCATGCGGGTGGTAGGTGACTAGGTTCTAATTTTTTATTGCGTGGAACGTTACGAAGTGGCACTGAAGATATGTGTAAACGCACGCACATACACTCGTTAAACAGCCGCATATGTTTTAGATAACGGGTAGTTTACAGTTGCGCAAAAATGCCAACAGCAACGTGTTTATTATATAGCAACATCAGAAGTGGTAAGCTAATGTGAAGCGCTGGACCCTGCTACATGAATCAACTTCAGCGAATTGCACCTAACTACAATTCACGTTAACCTGACGTACGGCTGTATTATTGGACAACATATACAATGTTTATAAAACTGAATAGCCAGCACTGTAATCTGAATTGACGTTTCACGAACATTATGGTCTACTTGAATAGTATAGTTCGGAAACCTGGTGTCGCTCTGTGGTGAAAAACTTGTCTGACACGCAGAATGCTGAACTTCGATTCCTGCTAGGGCCACACATTTGTTTTTTTTTTGCATTCATCGACTCAATGCTGCCGTTGTCACCCTTTTCTTAACGCTCGCGCGTTTAAAGTGCCCACGTCCATCGCCGCCGTTTCAGGGTATACATACAAACTGTCAACCACTTGTGGCTCATACCCGCGGGCGAGTATGTGCTACACACCTGGCGGAAAGGGTTTGGCGACGTACGCGACGGGATTGTGACATGATCGATGTCATGACAAGCGAGTCATATTTGCCAAACGATCTTACCCTCGAATACTAATTTTGGTTTACCCGAAGTTAAAGGGGTAAGCATGACAGCACCCAGACGTACGAGGCTATGTAGATAGATTAGATAGATAGATAGATAGATAGATAGATAGATAGATAGATAGATAGATAGCATGATATATAGGTAGATAGATAGATATAGATAGATAGTATGATAGATAAATAGATAGATAGCATGATAGATAGATAGATAGATAGATAGATCGATAGATAGATAGATAGATAGATAGATAGATAGATAGATAGATAGATAGATAGATAGATAGATAGATAGATAGATAGATAGATAGATAGATAGATAGATAGATAGATTGATTGATTGATAGATAGCATGTACTCAGATTTGGGTGCACGTTAAAGAACCCCAGGTGGTTAAAATTTCCGGCGCCCTCCACTACGGCGTCTCTCATAATCAAATGGCGGTTTTGGGACGTTAAACCCCACAAATCAATCAGATAGACAGCATAATAGATAGATAGATAGATAGATAGATAGATAGATAGATAGATAGATAGATAGATAGATAGATAGATAGATAGATAGATAGATAGATAGATAGATAGATAGATAGATAGATAGATAGATAGATAGATAGATAGATAGATAGATAGATAGATAGATAGATCCTCAAAGTGCCTGCAGTACTGACTCATTGTTCCATACCTCGACCAATTCCTGTGACTGGCTGTTCTTCTGGCTATGCTGTCATTTGGCCACTTTCAAAGGGCTTTTGGGCGCATTAAAAAAGACATTTTATTCGGTACTACCGATTTCAAGGTGCCAATATTTATTTCAAACGTTTCATTACACTCAGCTCTGTGCGAGCGTAACAGTAACGAAATTTCGCTTTTGTTTAGTTTCGCCAGTACCACTAGGAAAAAGAAGTGAAGTTGTTTATACGCCAAGTTTCTTTTATTAGGTTGCTAATGTTAGACTAATAATAACAATAATATGTGAGATTATACATCCCAAGACCACGGTATACTTGTGAAAGACGCCATAGTGAAGGTGTCCGGAAATTTTGACCATCTGGTGTTCTTTAACGTGCACTGACATCGCACAGTGAACGGGCTTCTGCCATTCTGCCTTGATCGAAATGCTACTGCCATGGCCGGGAAAGAACGCCAATGTTAAACACTGAGATTTAATTTTGGTATCAAATGAACAACATGATTTTGCAAAAGGACACTTCAAGATATATTAAACCTATTCTATTCATCATTATACAAATAAATGACGATCATTTCTCAACTTCACGTTCATCGAAATGCAGCGTGCTTTGCAGGAAATCGACCTCACGGCCACTTGCTTGTTTATTAGATACCAAAAGCACATTATCTTCACTAAGCAACCTCAAGACTGTGGCTCGACGTTTCATATAAGTCTTGAAACTTGGAATAAGAAAGTTCTCGGGCTAAGTTAAGAAATGAACACTTTTAGGACTTCTGGGGCGAAAGGCAGTAAAAACACACTCAGTTTATTACCTTAACAATGTAGTCTTCTGGTCGCACTTCCAATGATCTGCCTCCTATTATGAAGGTGAGAGTAGGGAGTTTGTTTACCAGGACGCACTCCACTTGATGCTAGAGTAAAGAAAGAAAAAAGAAAAGAAACGTGGCTTTTGGCAGCTCGAAATGAGCCACACGCGTATTGCGTACTCCAGTGTTTGTAATGTAGAATTGTGGCCAGTTAACAAAATAGACGTATGACACACACACAGATATATATATATATATATATATATATATATATATATATATATATATATATATATATATATATATATATATATATATATATATATATATATATATATATATATATATATATATATATATATATATATGTAATTTGTGTTGCGTTTTACTCAAAACAGTTATCCGGTACAGCAACCCCATCTGATGTGATTAAAATGTGTTACGGTTTTACGTCACAAAACCCCGATATCATTATGAGGGATGCCGTAGTGGATGGCTCCTGAAATTTCGACCATGTGGTGTGCTTAAGCATACACTGACGTCACAAAGTACGCGGGCCTCTACTATTTCGCTTGCATGAATTGAAATGCGACCGACGCGGCTGGGGATCAAACTCGCGACCTTCAGGTCAGAGGCCGAGACCCGTAATTGCTATGCCACGACGGCGGACACCAAACTCGATGTTGCCCCGAGGTGACTACTGTATAGGATCTTTATCTGTGGTATTTTCATGTACTGGTGTGGCTCTGTGGTAGGATGCTCAACTGCCTCACAGAATGCATATATGTTCGATTCCGGCTGGAACCGCGACTTCAGTGCGTCTATCAAGAATTTTTACGACATGCGCTCCTTCACGCTATCGTGTGAGCATTTCCAAAGTCTATTCGAAAGTAAGCTGGGTTGATATAGGCTGTAAGGCATGTGTGGCGCACATCCAAATTACATGGGCCATAAGAGTTGGTTATGTGCGACCCGTGACAGAGGAAAAGAATTTTGTGACGTACTCATCAAACTGTAATAGTTTATTTATGTGTTAATCAGTTTCGTCATACGCTAATGTTTTTCTGTACTTATTTTGGCTAGTGCCAAGTTAAGAAGATGAGCATGAAAGTGCTCAGACGCAGCTGACCAGATAGATAGACAAAAACGGTGAAAGTGCACCGTGTTTAACATAAGGCTGTTTAGCGAACTCAGGGCTCCAGCTGAGCCTTGAGCTATTTCTTGAATGGGGAAGAGTGGCGCGTGGTTTTAGAGGTGTCCCTTTTTGAATGGTGTGAGTTTTCACGGCTTAGACGCAAGTATTAGGGTGTTAGTACATGCATAGCTGAGGTTTGCTATTCTTTAACACACGATGCAGCCGTAACGTACCAGTCCCGATGAATATGGTGTGGCGCCGAGCAATCTGATGATCCGGTCGACGTCATCCGAAGGCCCTGTGATTGCCGAACTACCCGTATCGATGATGGCTTGACAGCCTTGTGTGCAAAAATTGTCGATGCCGAACTTAACACTGTTGTGTAAGAAAGGAAAAAAAAGAAGCCATGGCACTCAGTTGATTGTGACACGTTAGCGAAAAAGAACAAACGAAAAAGTAAAATAAATTAATATTGGGACCTCCTGGTCACCATCTTGCGTTTCTTATCGTTTTGGCTAGCAAAATGCCAATTTATAACGCACGTCATGAGCACCCAGCCGGATCATGGTGGTAATGTCATCTTTTCGAAGCAATGCGCACCACACAAGACTGACGGTTTGTGACGTTGTGTGTGTGTTCTCCCTATCTCTCTGTCTCATGTGTTCCACCTTCCTAACTTTCAAACTCTCCCGCTTCTTCCCTAGTGAACTCTCCTCTTGCTGTTACTTAAATACACTCACGTGATTTTGTGTCATGAATCAGCACTGCTGTCGAATATTCCACTGCTCTCGGTGCAGCAAGTACTTGGTTGTCCTCGTATGCTGAAATTGATCTTGGTGGTGGCTCAGTGCTTATGGTGCTCGGCAGATGACCAGACGTTACACACGAGTTTGATCCTGGCCATGGTGGTTGCATTTCGATGGAGCCGAAACGCTAGAGGCTCATGTACAGCACGATATCAGTGCAAGGTAAAGAATCCCAGGTGGTTGAAATTACCCAGAGCGGTCCACTACAGTGTCTCTGCTAGCCTGAGTGGCTTCGGGACGTTATACCCCACAAAGCAACCAATCAACCATAATGCTCGTTTTATGTATGTATGTATGTATGTATGTATGTATGTATGTATGTATGTATGTATGTATGTATGTATGTATGTATGTATGTATGTATGTATGTATGTATGTATGTATGTATGTATGTATGTATGTATGTATGTATGTATGTATGTATGTATGTATGTATGTATGTATGTATGTATGTATGTATGTATGTATGTATGTATGTATGTATGTATGTATGTATGTATGTATGTATGTATGTATGTATGTATGTATGTATGTATGTATGTATGTATGTATGTATGTATGTATGTATGTATGTATGTATGTATGTATGTATGTATGTATGTATGTATGTATGTATGTATGTATGTATGTATGTATGTATGTATGTATGTGCATGTTTCTCCATACAAGTGGCGTTACTTAAACTTACAATACGGCTGTCGAAAATTTATCTGTCGAAGTTACAATGGTTTTTCCTAATTGTATTTGGTTTGAATGAATGAAGGTTTATTTCACAATCTATTTACAGATAACGAACACTTGTCGGGGCTATAGCCAAAGGCTTGTTGAACATTCAAAAAAAAAAAGAAGGAAGGACATGAAATAGCGTTTCAATGGCTGCCAAGTCATTGTGGAATAATTGGCAATGAACGGGCCAATCGAGCTGCGCGTTCTGCCCATACTGAAAGCGATGAAATATCAATTCCGCTTTTCAGAACTGACGCTGCACGGAAACTCCACATGCTTGCTCGCAAGCGCACCACGTCACAATGGAACGAGTCACATTTTTCCCATGCACGGTTAGGTACTTTAGACCCAACTCTCAGTCTTCGAATTCCTCCGGAATAACGCCGACGAGACGCTACTATGCTGTGCATATTATGGTTGGGCGTCGCATTTACCAATGCGTACGCGTTCCGCATAGGAATGGCTGACCCTGCTGCATGCACCCATTGTGGCAGTGATGAAACAACTTGGCACATTCTGTGCGAATGCCCACAATACTGCTCGCAGAGACAGTCACTCTGCAATACACTAGATGAACTGGACAATCAGCCTCTTTCGGAAGAAAGACTCCTGCGCTGCCGACAAGACTTTATGTCGCAGAAGGAGGCTGTGAAGGCGCTCATGCGCTTCTTGCGTTCAACCGGCCTGTCCAAACGACTGTGATTGGAACTCCCTGATTGTGTGCGCATGTGTGTTTTTTTAAATTTTATATCTCTCTATAGCTATCCTCTTTCCGACCCTTTCCCCAACCCCCGTACAGGGTAGCAAACCAGTTCGTATAGGTTAACCTCCCTGTCTCTTCCTTTTAATTATTTCTCTCTCTCTCGAAGAAAGAATACCTGTAGGGATATCCTAGCACAGCAGCGAAAAAAGTAAAAAAAAAATATGGTCATAATTCAAATACACAAAAACTCAACATTTGAATGATCAAATAAACAGTAAATAACCATATCAAGCAACAAGCATCATAATATAGAGTACCTAAGAACAAAGTATACGGACAACATGAGATAAAATGAACTATGCGGTGCCGTTGATGAAGAAGCTATTAAAAACAAAAATCTATTATATTAGATTTAGTAGGCAAGAAATGACTGTAGGCGACCTGAATATACGTACTTTATGAAAACGACAGAAATATAATAATATGTACGCAATTGCACAACACTATCGCAAATTTTGGGCCATAAAAGTTCCATCAGCGCTGAAAATGAACTATCGACATCGGAATCTACTAAAAAAAGGAGGAAAGTTGACTAACGATGCCTCGAAGCTTAATCTGGAATAATATGAACCATGTTTTTTGGCCTCACTCTCTCTCTCGCGCGCTCTCTGCCTGTGTGTGTGTGTGTTCCAGGTGTCGATTCAGAAAACCGTTATGGTTTCTACAAATTGCGAGGCAACATCGCACTAGATCGCCCACAAGAACAGACAGCAGCCTTTGGTACCTGTCGAGAGCTAGCTGCCAGTAGCCCTTCTTCGAGACGGGCACGTAGAAGAGCTCGCCTGAGTAGTGGGCCTTGTCCACACCTCCAAAGCAGATCTCGCCCCCGTCGATGCCTGTCGGCGTGCCCAGTGCGCCAGCTCCACGTTTCAGGAACACCGAAAACACGGGGTCACGAACGATTCCCTGCTGAATCATGTTGTCAAAGACTGGAGTGGCTCCTAGCACAGATATCTCCGGATAGGCCAAGCCCAAGATGCCGTCAAACTTGGCATAGGCGAAGGCCGTGCCACGCCTGTTGTCGGACTGTACGAGGATGAAAGAATGGATCAATCAATCAATCAATCAAACAATCAATCAATCAATCAATCAATCAATCAATAAGCTATTACATAAAATTGGCAAGAAAGGAAGGAAAACAGGAGAGGCAAGAAAGGCAAGGATAATTACCATTATAGAAGAACCGGCATGCTACCTTGCTCTGGCGAAAATGGACAAGAGAGTTTGAAAACTAGTTTTAATAGTAAGGAAAGAGAGAGAGCTCACACACGCGCACGCGCAAAGTAACAATTCGTCAGTCGTGTACACGATTGATGGATGTATACGACATCACTATCAGTCGACAATCCCTTTTGCAAAAATGTTGTCCCTAATTATTATAACAGTGCTTCGTTTGCTTCATTCTTAATGGCTTGGCAGGATGATATCGGTGGGTGATCAAGGTGAGGTAAAGCGATTGCGAGTGATATTCTTGGCACCGCACATACATAGCGAAGAAAGTCAAAAAAGAAATGCTGTAAAGTATCTTCGATACCGCAGTCATCATTCCTATACGAAAACAAATAGACTTCGTGAAAGGTCATCACCGGCACAGCGGAGTGGTTTCTCTTCAGAATAATTCATTTGACATTCGAAAACGTAGCAAAGCGAAATTGACAAGAATGCGGGAGGAGCGAAAGGCGAGTGCCACATTCTCGTGGCCCTTGGTGGTTATGTGTAGCATATGCTAAGAGTCACGAAACAGACATTCGACAGTTTGCCTGAGTGTCTCTGCGAGGTATGTTTGATACTGGCAAGATGTTGGTTAGGTAGGGTTAACCTATACTGGGCCCCACGGTGCCAAGCAGTACAGTGCAGGTGCAGCTGGTACGGCTCAATCACCGCATAACGCTGCATAGGTTGCTTCATCAGTTTATTCACAACGAAGTGACAATATGTATTTGCATATAAAAGGCGTATTGTCTAAAATCAACTTATAATGTCTTGTTGGGGACCAACTGAGTTAACCCAATTCGCTCCTTCCTGTCTTCTAAACATTGTTCTTTAACGGTTGGAACAAATTAGACACAGTGAATACCACACACGCACACACACGCGCTACGCATCTGCTACTTGAAGTTCAATTGCAGTAAAACATTTATGCAGCATTATTAATCTTTTGTCAAAAAACTTCACCCGAGACTTGTTCGATAATCCTCTCTTACAACTTTAATTCGCCGACTGGTTGATTGATTGATGAAAGTATGGGCTTACCTAGAAATTAAGAACTAATCTAGGAGTCTGACCTGGACGAATGCCTGCCTTTTCACGGAGTGATTGCCGATAGTGACTACATCAAGAACGACCTCGCCATGTACAGGTCCGCTTCCGTAGACGAGTCCCACGCGCGTGCCATTGTGTTCGTACGTGCATGACTTCGCAGAGTTGTAGAGCTGGTGGAGACCTGAGCGGGAAGGAAATGTGGTGCTTTTCAACTCACTCAAGCAGCGAAATTTTTATTGCTAGGCATTTAAGAAGTGCAATTTAAGAAGTGAATATAGTGCTAGTTGAAATAGGAACTGAGGGGAACAGTGAAAAACCCGGACGGAGAAAGATTGAGCACACGACACAAGCGCTGACGAACAACTGGGTGTAAAATTTATTACACCTGGAAATATATAGCTCAAAACAGGAACAACCATCACGTGCACATAACAGTGAAAGGCAAAAGAGTATCTGCCACGAGTCGTTGGTTGTTCTTGTTTTCATCTATATATTTCCAGATGTAATAAATTTTACACACAGTTGTTCGTCAGCGCTTGTGTCGTGTGTTCAATCTTTCTCCGTCCCGTTTTTTCGCTGTTCCCTTCAGTATCATGTACCAACTAGCCCTCCTAGAAACCCTTCTGAAATAGGAAACGTGAAACCTTAAACAGATGAGACAAAAGAGAACATGAGATGACTATATCTGCACTTATAGCTGCACATTATGCGTGCACTTCAACATAGGCATTCCAAACGGGACGAGATTCGTACATCGCCATTGTGCGCGGGATGTGAAGGGAAATACTTCATTTGGAGCTGCCAGTGCTCAATAGTGTAGTAAGAAAGGCTGTCAGTCTGCCTACAACGCAACCCCCCTGCCATACCCCACCCCCACCGGCAGCAACAACAAAAGAGGATTTCTGATTGCATCTATTCAGCGCATATTGTTCATTGAAGGACTGTGAATAGCGGGAAAGAAAGTTTCATGTGTCTTGCATCTGTATAAATGGGACACAAAACTTACATTTTGTTGAAAAGCCTTGAACGCCTAACAGATGTTCTTACTTACAGGTGCGACAGGGCAGCTGTGAAAGCCACAGTGATGGCTGTTGTTATCCATTGTGTGACAGCGCTCTTTAAGTAGTGTATGTGCAATAGAAAAACCCATCCACCATGCCGTCGTCTGTAGCTCACTGGTGCCCTGTTAACGCTTTTAGAAGTGAATGTACAAGTGCTGCATACGTAATGAATGGTGCCGTTGGCTGAACATCAGCAAAACAATTAAAATGAAAGGCCCCTCACCACAGATGCGTTCGTTCTCGCTGCACTTGATGGACGGAACCCACAGGTCTGAGGAGCCAGTGTCAAAGAGGATGCGAAAATATTGCGGTGGTGTTCCAATTGAGAGGTCACCGTAATATTGCGCCTGCGATAAGGCATCGTCAAATTATATGCTTGCGGAGAGCGATATTCTAGATTCTAGCTATCTACATTACGCCATCATCACTTCAGCAGTCTTTGCACTGAAATGAAAAGAAAACATTTTTCTCCCCTCCGAAGACGGGATGGTGCCAGTCAAACCATCCTCAAAGAACCATTATACGGAACACTGATTATTTTTATGGCTTTAACGTATTGAAGCAACATCACTTCTTCGATAAGAAATGCGTATCAGTAATATGGGCTGCCATAGACCACTTAACGATGACTAGGCACGAGCGTCAACACCACACACCTACTGGGACGTCGACGAGCATCAACACCTCACACCCACTGGTCACTTATCGGAAAGACAAACTCACGTTAAGCATGAGCTCGTGGATCCAATAATAACTCTAGTTACTTCCACTTTTAACCAATTGCAGTCGTATAATCAGGCCAACGTCGTGCAAGTTTTCGTAGCACTGTATTTGTGTAGTTCTATCTAGTGAACTTTTTTTTTCTTTCATGTGACATCGATATTTAGTGGTCGTTTGGATGTTGCACGGACATCAAATGCTAATACAAGAAATCTTCATATTCAAATCGAGGTTGTGGGAAGTAATAAGCACTCACATCCATATAGTTCTTCAACGGTTTCGCAAGGATTTCATTTCCCGCTGCGCAGTACTCCAGTGGAGTGGGCGATATGTCGAAGCCTTCGTAAGTCTCCCGCAAAGACCTCATTCGTCGAAGGGGCACCCTGAAATTGCGCGAATATATAAAGACGCACATTCTCTTGCACTTTCCTTTTCTCACAAGCGCGCAGAAAGGCCGCTTGGTTTTCGCTTGTTCACAAACAACCACTAACCTAATGAGAGCTAGACACCCTTGTGGAACACTGAATTGTATTGAGTAGCGTGGATTCCGTACACGTGCGCATAATTGTACTTACACTGTCATTCTTGCATTTCGACCCATCTAAGTCCGCCTACAGGCATCGATTTTGATAGCTCTTGCTCAGCAGCACGACGCTATTGTTAGTTACAGGGCAATACAAGCTTCGCTTTAAAACACAATCTACTGGCAACAGCAAAATATTAAATTAAGAGCTCTGCATTATTTGTGCGTGTGATGGCTCTTGATTGATCACGAAAATTGAGTACAAACCGCCCGTACAAGGAGGTTTTGCGCATATAGTATTGCGCTTAAATTAAAGTCAGCTGTTCACCCTCAAGACCCTGTGCGCACTATATTTAAGACGGAAGCTTAGGCTTTGAGCGACGCAAAGCCCCGCCTAACGCTGCATGTGGCATTATTCATGCAATAGGCAGCACGCACTTAATCCACTTTCTTAATGAGATGTGGATTAAAGGTGTGAGCCAAAAGACCAAAACATATTTATGAAAATAGACAGAGGTTCAGAGGTTGAATGTGAGAGAAAAGCTGAGAGGTCGGCCTCATCTAATTTTCTGACGTACGACTCGGCGTTAAGTAAGAGAAGGGGGTGATAAAGAAAGTAGATAGATAGATAGATAGATAGATAGATAGATAGATAGATAGATAGATAGATAGATAGATAGATAGATAGATAGATAGATAGATAGATAGATAGATAGATAGATAGATAGATAGATAGATAGATAGATAGATAGATAGATAGATAGATAGATAGATATGTGGGGTTTAACGTCCCAAAACCACCATATGATTATGAGAGACGCCGTAGTGAAGGGCTCCGGAAATTTTGACCACCTGGGGTTCTTTAACGTGCACCCAAATCTGAGCACACAGGCCTACAACTATTCCGCCTCGATCTAAAGAAAATAGAGAGAAGGTGTTGATGATGATGAGAACGAAGGTGATGATGAATCGAAACTTTTAGTGTACAAAAATTTATTTGCAGTCTTTTTCAAGTTCAGTCTCGCGCAAAAACTTGTTCAGAGCTTTAAAAGTATGGCATAAACGTTGGCAAGGTGCCCCGGTTAAATTTACCGATGTTTATGACATGCAGACGTACCATTATCAAGAATGGCCTTGCCATCAATACTATGTTAGGCCTAGAATAACATTCCGCGTATTACAAAGATGAACACCCTTCACGCATTTTGGTCGGCTTGTCTGTGGGACCTTACCCATTTTTGTACTGCAGCAAAAAGGGACAGTTGGGCTATATTAGTTCGACTTCATTGTAAAACAGTGCGAAAGATGGTTCCCTCTTGGCGTTTCGCCTTTCGCGCTGTTTCAAAATGAACTCTTTTTGTGCAACTTCTGATATTGCTGAGCTGTAGGTAAGTCGTCTCACCTGAGCTGGGCGAACGTCGACACGGAAAGGGTAAGCGCCAAAATTATTCTCGCTGGCTTTGAATTTCCCATCCCGAAAGAGCAGCGTGCAGCTCTCTACACGCAAGCAGCAGGAACACTTCAAGGAGGTATAGAGCCCGTAGGAGGACAACACAACGCAATAATTCTCGGCTGCCTCGGCGTTGCCGAACGCGACAAGCTCTCCCATGTACCGGCACATCACGCGTCCTACGAGTATTTATTTTTTTTGCGCACGTATGCCCGCTGATAAGGATAGCTCAAAGTTAAGGTGGACCTTTCTTTCAGCGTCTTCAAGTGCATCCGCGTCACGCACAATTTTTAGATATGCGCTGCACCTTCTGCGTTCTGTGCACACGTTCAAAACACTGCTGCACAGGAGGGCCAGACGGGTGCGGAGTTTCTTATCTGATTGACGGCATCTTGTCACTGACCCATCACCGCAGCACAGTGGTTATCGCGTTTAGGCGCTGAAGTCGCGGGCTTGATCCCGGACGTGGCGACCACGCTTCACTGAAAAGACAGTCCACGTTCCTTTTTTTTTTTTTTGCGATGTCACGACATATGCTTACCAAAGCACTACCATAACGATTGAGGGCAGCGTAGGATAATGTAAAAGGTGAACGTAAACGAGTATACGGGAAAGTTGCTTAGTTCAAGTGTCCGAAGCTAACCCTGGTCGCTTTCACTGCGTCGTGTGCCATAATCCTGTGGTTGTGGTACTCAAAGCATGAAAATTTATTTAGATACTCCAAAGCAAGAGCAAGGGTATGCAGTAGACATCAGAGAGCTGTTGCTGAAGGTTTACGGTGTCGTGGCGATTTTCACAGAGCACGCCGTAAACGGGATCGCAATGGTGCGCTCGTGCACGAAATGCCTATGCCCGGAGCGGAACGTTGGATACTGCCCTCGCTTCGCTGCAGGTCCGATTGAGCGAAGTGCGGGGCGCCTGCGTCCACTTGGTCCTTTTGTCATCTTGTATATAGTCAAGGTGACAGAGCGTCTCTCCATGGTATTTCGGGCTGACTAGGTTGTAGAAAATTCGAAACCAACGTGACTCCCTGCGATGCCTTCAGATGAGCGCGCAAAAATTTGGCGAAACGAAGTGTATTCAGAAAAATCAAAGTGCTAGAAAGAGGCATTCACGCAGGTCAAGAAACACAGAACAGATGTGTAAACGACGAGGGTGGGGATGTCGGCTTGTGGGTGATTCATTTGAAACGCGTTGATGTATACCGTGCGAAACGACACACGAACACTATAGAAGGCACATATGGACACCACATATGGACGCTATACGCAGCGCTATGTGTGGTGTCCATATACATGCGCTGTTTGGTGTCTATATTGCCTTTCTCATGCCACTGTGTCGTTTTGCGCTACACATAAGTGTGAGCTACGATCACCTTTACCTGACAACGCGAAACAAAGTAAGTGCTCTAGAAATGGGCTCGTACGAACAGCCAAGAGCCTTTATGAAACCACGTTTTTCTGGTTCCGCTCTGTGTAAGAAGAGTAATAACAAGTAGCGGGGAATAATATGCTCAATTAAAAAGCTCCCTATTGATGGTTTAGGCATTGGGAATTAAACTTGTCTCTAAATATGGGTGCTCACCATCTGTATAAGCAGTGTACGCGTGACGCGTACAGCCGTCAGCGCCTTTAACACGAACACTTATATGCGTGACCAGGGCTAGTTTGATTGATGCCAGCCGCGAAGTGCTGAGAGCTTTTGCCGAGATGATTCATCGGTAGGCTTGGTTAGTATGTTGGCATGTATGGTTAGCATCTTGCAACAGAACCCAGCTTACGTGGTGTCACGTCAATCAAACTGCTGCAGGACACGTGTCGGAGCGTTCGTGTTAAAGGTGCTGACGGCTGTACATGACTATAGAAAAAAAAAAACACCAGAAAAGGGTGACACAAAAGGACGTTGTAAATTTTCACGTCATTGTATTGTTACATATAGTTGTTTCTTGGCATCATTAAACTGATGAAAAGAAGGTAGGACAAACAAACAAATATTAACATATTATGAGGGCCGACGTTGGCTCACAGTTGAGCTAGCTGCTCCAGCTATGTAAACTCTGCAAATGTTCCGCAAGTAAAGGGTGCCATGTTTTTTCCAAGGCCGCAGCTAATAATAATAATAATAATAATAATAATAATAATAATAATAATAATAATAATAATAATAATAATAATAATAATTGTGCTTTATTTTGACATGTGAACATTGTCCACCTACATGTCATGTTAGATGCCACCATGATGTGGCAGAAATAAACGGACATGACTGTTTCCTGACTAGGCACAACCCGGCTCGGGAGAAAAAAAAAATACACGAAGCAGTATTCTTGTCAGCAAGAAGCATGGGGGACAGGGCAATTCAAGAATATATTATGAGAAATAATGAAATACCTACAGCAATTTCAAGATAACTTTTGTGGTAGAAGTACACACAAATTTAAATAATTACTTAATTATAGATTGCGGAAATGAAGGGGTAAGTATTCAAGTGTGGCTAAAAATGTGCATAACTTAACAATTGAAATGGTGTGAAGTACAACTAAATGAAACAGAAGACATTGCAAGCGGGAAGACGCAATTGCATGAAATAAACAAACACTTGAAAAGAAACAATTTATTCTGGGTCGAAAAGTAATCCTGTCTTCTTTTTAAAGTAATGAACAGATCCGCATATCAGAACTAATTTCACAACGACGGGAAAACTGTTACATACGCCAACAATCTGATGGTCAAGTGACTGTGCGCCGTAATAAGTCCTGCATTCTGTTGAAACAAATGAAGTCGTTCGTAAGTTGTTTTCAATATCTCGAGTGAGATATATGTTGCTGAATGTAGAAAAGTTTTCTTATATTTGGTTATAAAGATATATCGACGTGACCATGTCAATAGAAGAGGAGGAGGAGTCTTAATAGCAGTAAAAAAGACAGTGCCATCAGTTTTCCTTGATACTAACCCCTCTACAGAGATAACTTGGACTGCATGCGTTACAAATTATGCAAAAATACTTATAGGAGCATGTAATCGTCCACCGGATGCCCATTCCTTTTTCCCCAAAGATCTACGTGACAACATAGAACGAGCTACGCAACTCTACTCAGCTGACATTATATACCTTTTTGGCAATTTCAACTACTCGCTCATTGATTGGTCTACCATGACTACCACATGTCACGCCTCATCAAATTTTGTCGAAGTAACCCTCGACTACAACTTATCACAAGTTGTTCACCAATGCACCCGTGGTACTAACATGCTCGACCTTGTTTTCACTAATGCACCAGAAACCACTGGAGCGATTTCTTACATAGAAGGATTCAGCGACCACAAGCTCCTTAACTTTCAAATCAACCTACCTGTAACCTTTACAAGCTCAGTGAGAAAAACAATCCTGGATTATAACCATGCTACTTATCATCAATTCAGGACGGAGCTAGAAGGTTTTTATCAGGAACTTTTTTTGCCGTCGTTTGCCTCACGAACCGTGAACGAAAACTGAATTCTTTTCTAAGAAAAAAATATTAGAGTTAGTAGACCAGCTTGTGCCGCTGATCTCCGCATCCAACGATAAAACTAACCCTTGGTTTACTAAACATCTTCGAACATTACGAAATAAAAAGAAGCGTTTCTATGATACCGCAAAACGCATTGGTTCTGGGTCATACTGGGATAAATACAAGGTTTGCTTACAGGACTATTGTAAAGCCTTAGACACAGCTAAGAAGAAATACTATTCGCAGGACTTGCCGTCACTTCTAAAAAATAACCCCAAAAAGTTCTGGCAAATAATTTCACCCTACAGCAAGTCTCCTAATCACATTACAATACACGATACTGAACTAACGACGCTCTCTGATGAAGCTTCTGCTATTGCTTTCAATGAGTACTTCGCCTCTGTTTTTACACAGGAAGATTGTTCCAATGTACCATTTGTTCCAGATCACCCTTTCACTTTAATGGCCCCAATCATTGTCACTGCCGAAGGCATAGCACAACTCATCACGAATCTTAAGGTTTCTACTTCATCAGGCATTGATAACATTAACTCTAAAATACTGAAGAACACCACAGATATTTCCAGCCGCTACCTCTGTCTCCTATATAACCAGTCGCTATCATCAGGTGAGTTGCCCAAGGATTGGAATATTGGTAAGGTGATTCCCTTATTTAAGTCCGGTGAGTGCCTGCAGGCACTAGCCCCCTAGTTATCGACCCATTGCACTTACATGGATATCCTGCAAACTGCTTGATCATATCGTGGCTTCTCGTATTTACGATCACCTTGAATCAAACAACTTCTTCTCTAACCAGCATGGCTTTAGAAAAGGCTACTCATGTGACACCCAGTTATTCGAATTCACGACTGACGTTCACTTTAATATGAACGCTAACGAACAAATCGATTGCCTCTTCCTTGATTTCGCCAAGGCATTCGATACTGTCCCTCATTGTCGTTTAATCTCTAAATTGGCTGCACTCTGTATTGATTCATTTATCCTGTCTTGGCTACGAAGCTTCCTCTCTTCGCATGAGCAACTTACGGTAATCAACGCCATTTCATCTAACCTTTGCGACGTCACATCCGGTGTTCTTCAAGGCAGTGTAATAGATCCATTACTTTTTCTAATATACACTAATGATTTGCTCGATAGCTTTCATCCACAGTTTTCACAGACAATGGCACCATATACCACAATATGAAATGTTTTAATGATCATTCCGCTCTCCAAAATGACCTTGACCTAACCTTCCGGTAGTGCGAAACTTGGCAGATGTCCCTTAACGCCTCTAAATGCAAGTTAATCTCGTTCACCCGAAAGCATACCAATTCTACATTTCACTATAAGATTAATAACGCCGTTGTTTCAGCACACCATTTTACAAATATTTAGGCGTTCACTTTACATCGGATCTATCCTGGACTACGCATATAGCAGCTGTCTCATTGAAAGCCTCTCAATCTCTCGGATATCTCCGCAGAAACTTGCGCAACGCTCCCTCTAACGTACGCGCATTATCATATATTACTTATGTTCGCCCACAGCTGGAGTATGCATCATCCACATGGTCACCATATCAAGAATACCTGGTACGTATGTTGGAAGCCACCCAGAATAGGGCAGCGAGATTCATCTCTGGAAACA